AACATTTTCTTTCAAAAACCCATAGGTTTTTCTCTTTTCAAAATATAATCAAAATACAGAAAAGACAAATGTATAAAAAATGTGTGTAAAGAGATTGTAGTTATCAGTGGGATGCCTCGTCAAAAGCGTCACAGGCTTGGTCTTCGGGATCTGCGTCTTTGTCGGTCAGTAGGCTAAGGACGGTTGTTCCAAATCGTAAGTGCTTGCGTTTAGGTGGCGTCCGTAGTGTGTTTGTAACCGGGTCAGATGCAATCAGTAGCCCATGAATTAGATCCTTCATGCCAGCAGCTCTAACGATTATAAAAAATACTATGCTAAATTTAAACACAGATTCTCTCTTAGCTATATACCCTTACTTATCACAAGAAAATACCTGTTCCAAAGTTGTACATGGTGCTTGCGAATATGCCGCACTCGCTTGTGACATGCCTCTAGTGCCTCCTCTGACAAAAGCCCTAGTGGAACAGGTGCTACCTTCACAAAATCTGGACCGTGCACTAAGAGCGTGTGAACAGATGCAGTCATCCAGTACCAATTATAATGTGTTACATACAATCGAGCTGTCTCTTGAGTGTAGTTCCTGAAGCTTTCTACATCGATGGCAAAACCGCTCGATACGACAATTAGCACAACTCGTAAATGCTCCAAAAATTCTTCATCCAACCCTAAAGCGACAGAAATGAGATGGATACAGGGAGATAAAAAAAGAAGAGTTACGTTAAATTTTCTTACCAGTCAATTCAGCTGTAAGGGCAGGGTCTTCAAAAAACCTTCTTGCAGTATTCCCATTATTGCTCGATCCAGTGCCTACTTGACTAGAAACAGTTTTACCCACAAGTATACCAATACCATTTCTTAGCTGGTCAGTCGCTTCATTCTTGCGTGCTTTCATCAGGTCTTTCTGTGCTTGAGTGTACGGCTGGTACGGCTGATATGTGTCGGCTATATCCAAGCGCTCGATTATATTTAAACACAATTCAAGAGACCGTAACCAGGCATGCAGCACTGGGAAAACAACTGGAGTAAAAGATGCAGGATTGACTGGCCATGAAAACCACCTTTCTATATCATTCATTGTACTAGGGCGAGCTACGCAAATGCCACATTTGGAATTTGTCGTGTCGGTGATAAAACCCTTGATTTTTCCATCGACCATAGTTAAATATGCCCTAATTAAACAAGTACAGCAGAAATAAAGAATAAATACGTGAGACAAGTGCAAATATTAAATAGAGAACACTTAAAGTATGAATATAATAGAGTCAACCCACTCGTGCGTAATTTGAAGGTCAGGTTTTACAGTAACGCATGGTCTAAGCTCAACTATTTGGGCTGAAATTTTGTCATTAATTGATGTCACCAACTGTTTGGTTTCTTTGGCGTGAAGTAACTGAAGAGGACGGCAGTAATCCGGCGAGCCAGGCCTCTTATTGTTCCAAAATATTTTTTTTTTGCCTGGCTCCAAAAAATAACACGAAATTATACTAGGACAGTAAGACCCCAGAGCATTTAAAACGCCTACTAGACTGTAGAATTACCAGTATTTGTTTTTGTGTAGATCTGCAATGGTACAGCTCCAACCAGAATTATGTTTTTTTCTTCCAAATCTGGAGTTGAAGAAACCTGACTATACTCGACGTGACCGGACGACCCATCAAATCCCCATTTCCATAGCATAGTTACGCTTTTATCTTCAGGACTGCTCTCAAAAACTTCACTGTGGGTTTTAACTATACGTGTTGCCGTTAGGTCAAAAAGAGCCTACACATAAAATTGCCAATTTAAAATAATGGACATATACATTCCCATCAAAATAGCAGAAAACAAATATTTATACATATCTATCAAACATACCTGAACCGGTATAACCGCCTCCGATTGAGAAACCGTCATATCCTGATCATCTGGATAAAACACATTTTTCCCTTTCCAAATTTTCTCATAATTAGGAAACACATCAGCCCCGTGGCTTTTGAGAGCTTGTCTTAAAAACAAATAACTGGCCTTTGTTAATTTGCATATTTGAATAATTGCTGCCATTTCTTCGGCATTGAATGGTATAAAGTCGTTGGAAGTCGTTGTAGACGATGTGTCTGCAGGCTTATCTGATGCACGCGTTTCCAATCTCTTTTTGGACTTCGCTGCAAACTCCAGTTCGTCCGTAGTAAAGTCCGTCCGTATTTGTTGAGTCCTCTTTCTTTGCCCTGACGCTGATAGTTGTCCGAAATCTGCCGTTTTCGGTCGTCCTCCACTGTTTTTTACTAAGTTTTCTTTGTCTGTTTTGAAACGTTATACTAATTAATTGGTCGTCTTAAATACGCTACTGAACTTCTTTCAAAAAACAAATTAGACCTAATTTTGAAATAAAATTTTAATTTATACCTGTTGAAAATCTTGGTGGTAGTTTGAAGGGCTCATTTAGCCAGGGGTCACTGAGAAGCCTACCTACATGGCGGTTGTATTGATTTAACTTGGATTTAACACTCCTTAAAAAGTTGCGTATATTTTGATCTAGTTCGTGCATTAAATCATCCGGAACACTTTCCATTTGCAAAGAACCTAATAAAAAGTGAACAAGTTAACAAAAATGAAACATAGCATTTCATTCATACTAGAATTAGTGTTAATCGATAGACCGGAAAGCAGAAATCGTGGTTTCGGGGAACCTGACCTAACTTGGGGAAGAACCGTGCCAAAGGCGCGACAAGAGCGCAAGCGCGGTGAGCACGCACGGCAAATCGGAGTAGGCGTACAACTGACAGCGGTAGTCAGACGCGACTTGCTTGAGTATTCTTTTATGCATAGTTCCAATAGTGAATCGCCTTGCTTCGTGTTTGTACTCACTTAGAATGAAGTTGGAAATGTGACGTAACTTCTCCGACTCGTTCACATTTTGGACCTGAAGAAACACGTCCTTACGTGTTTTAAAATTCACCGAATTCATCGTTGCCTGCGCTGCCAGAACCGACCGTCCTATGTGCTGAACTGAACAGTAGAGTGGGGGGGATACACTGACAGTGTTTGTGCGATAATACTAAAAATGCAAAATCTCTCTATAACTCCCGTTTTGCGATTCCCATTATTCAACGATTCCAGAATGCGACAACTCGTCATAGCAAAACCAATTGCGATACAAAAAGTAATTGAGTAACGAAGTTATTACATTTAGTGAACAGCTCTGATTTTCTTCAACCGGATTTGATCGACTTTTACAAGTTTTGACTGATTTGGTCATGATTTACCGACTTAGACAGATTTTGACCGGTATTAACCGGTTTTGACAAGTTCTGACAAGTTTTGACAAGTTGACAAATTTTGACCG